CCCTTCCAACCCCTGACATTCTGTGATTCTCTCTCTAATGCTTGGCTGGAGCTCCCCTCTCCCACAGCATCATCCTATTCAAGCTCACTCTCACCATCCTGCTTACACAAAACACAGCAGTTGTTATTCCACTGGTGAGCCAAGACTATTTACTCCTCAAGTGACAAGTAACATCACAGAACATCACAGAACCTCCTGCTTCCTCCCATCCAGCACCGTTTGTGCTGAAAGCTCTTTGCTGCTTTGTCTCCTGCTTGACAGCCCCTAGCATAATAACGTCTTGTGTCACGTCATGTGAGGTGTCACATCTAAATTTTACAGAAATGTTAAATTCTGTGTATCATTGTGCTTTAAGTAATAGTATCTTGGTCTAGTCCCAAATGGTTTATGTTTCTTAATAGTTTATAAGTGCTCCTGTTTCTACACAGAAACATTAGGCAACTCTGTAACCAGCAGTCTTATCTGTGCTAAACGATGTGTTGCAGAGTTGTGATTTTGTCATAACTTATTTAATATGCATCTTTTCCTTATTATTATAAGGTCATTACAACAGCAATTCTCTTTAGTGTCTGGAAATAATAATCCAAATTCTTTTCATTTTTGTATTATGAAGACGTCAACCATTTGATTTCTATTTTACATTAACAGTGGTAAGTAAAAACTCTATCTGTGTCTTCCTGACAACTTATGATTTTTTTTCTGGGCATAAACAATATCAAAATATTTGAAAATGTTTAAATTGTTTGATCATTTAGCAGGTTAGGAAAAGCTGAGAGGCACTACAATGCACAGGAACACACATCAAACACAGCCATGGTAAATGATCAGTCATACACTTAGTAGTCACTTTACCTAGCTCATATAAAAATATCTGTATTCTAACATTTCAATCTCCCCTTTCCCTCTTGCCATATAATTGTTTAGGGCTCCAATCCAATATATTTTTCCTGCCTAAGTAGATTCCTATTCCTGCGTGCAAAAAAAAAAGCAGGATTAGCACCTGAGAAACACAGGCAACACTGCACCAAATTCTTGCCAAGTCTACTAAGGAAACTAGAAAAAAAAAGTACCATAATGCTCTCAGTAGAAATATTGCATAATACTTGCAATAACAGTAGATTAAAAAAGACATCCTACTATATACATATAAATGCAGTTATCAAGTTGACAGCCTTGTTTCCAGGAATAAATCACTGAAAATATAAAAGCAGTTAGTGATCAGTTTTTCTGCTACAAATATTCAAAGAAATAGTTGGAACAGTAACCATAAAATTTCTCAGAAGCTTTAAGTGCAGATAGTTCAGATGAAAATGAAATTCAGAAGTGATCTGCATGAGCAGAACAAAGCAGATTTATAATTTATATATACTACTTATTTTTATTTCACAATGCAGTGCTTTGTTTTCCAGATACAGGCCTTATTTCACACACAGTATTCATGTAGGGCCCAGGGTCTTTGTAAAGAAGAGATTAAAATTGATTACTTACTCGAGACTTTTTATTAGGAGTGTAAGCTTTAGAGTTGCAGAATATTAAACGAATATCTTTGTAGAATTCCAAGGGACTAGTGTAGTTTCCTGCTTCCAAGGTTTCTTTCACAGTGCTGAAGTCCATAGGAGTGTCTACGATATCTCGATAATCCTGTAAAAATATACAAGAAAATATTAAAAGCTGTCAAATCCTACAGCAATAAAAACACTTAAGTGTTCAGCCACAACTGTGGCTCTCAGGTAATTATGTCTTCTTGAGAATTACTGCAGATAATTCTCTGAAAACATCAGTGCATAGAACATGGTGTGTTCCAGCTCAGCAAAGCAGAGGTTTAGAAACATGCCCAGCATGGATGTTTTGCCAAAGGATGAACAATGGGCTTTTTAAATTTTAAAATTTTTAATATGCAAGTTGTACTTACAGGATAGGAGAAGAGATCAACTGGCTGCCTAAAAGGCTCTGAGTCCTCTCTTTCATAAATCAGGTTTAACAACTGCTTGCATTGCTCTTTCCAAGCATCAGGACTTGCTTTCATGGGCTGTCTTTTTATTCGTCGTCTTACCTGCAGGGAAACAGATTTATTTCATCCTTTTTCAGAATATTTAGATTTTTTCACTTTAAGTTCCTATTAATTTACTAGTGTTATGATTCCAAGTAGATTTCCACAATTAAAACCAGCATTGCAGTAAGGTTAAAGCACAGCTGATGGCACAATAATATGCAGTATGCAAACTGCAGGAATATGCCTTTTCTGGTAATATGGAAATACTCCAGCTCATGAGAGGTAAGCAATATTTCAGATCCAGCCTCGCTATTTTGTCAGCTTTCATCCAAATTTGACTGAAAATTGAATCTGGTTTAGGTATCTTTCAAACCAATGAAAGAAAAAGATTGTTCAGCAATTAAGTAGATTTTCCTGCACCATAATTTAATGAGTCTGCCAACACATACATACACATACAACTGAATTCATACAGCCCTACAGACTACAGGCTGTGACAAATTTAAACCATTCCATCCCTAAATGAGTGTTTCAGGATCTGGTCTATCTCCCTTCACAAACTAGACCAAGCAGAAATATTTACTCACTCGTCTTTTTCCAGATGAAGTTCCTGGAGCGTCTGAATCCACATCTACTTCTGCCACCTAAAGGCAAAGGTATTGATTACACACACACACACACCCCCTCAGCAAGGGAAAAAGGGTTGAAAACCCAACAGCCAGCAACAACAGACAGCATTTTAAACTACTCACATGCAATGAATGGTTCAAGCAATACATAGTCTCAAGCTAGAACTTGCATAAGTTCAGGAAAAAAAATAAATAAATCAGGTGGATAAGCTGTTTCATCTCTTTTCCAGCTTTGCTTCCATAGAAATTATATATAAAAATGGGAGAAATTCACTCCTTAAGACTCATCTAAGCTCCAGTTTTGATTCCCCTGCCTAAATGTTCCTGTCCTGAGCAGCTGTACGGAGTTTCATGTAGTACCTTACTTACATTAAGTGTATGTGATATTCTTTTCAGAATCTGCATTTAGAAATTACAACAAAAACTCCTTTGTACACAGTTTTCTACCACTAATTAAAAATAAAGAGAAGAAGTGGTTGCTTGAAAGTTCCTACAAAGAGTCTGAAAGTAAGTTCTCTCTTATTTTAAAACATACTATAAACCAAGACACGCTCTTTAAAAGGCTAGAGAGAAAGGAGGGTGATTTAGTAGCAATTTTGGATACTTCTGACATGGAACAGGTAAGATTCACAACTGGCACAAGAAGGTTGAGTTTGGAAAGGAGGATCTGCCATTTAAATCATGGAAATCCCTAATTTTCTTCAAAATACTCTTTTAATAGTCTGTGAAAATAGAGGCTGTTGTTATTTCTTCAGTTTTATAAAAGTAATGAAATTATTACATTGTGGTATAGACTTTTAAGTTTCAATCCAAGATAATAACAACAGCCATAAGCATACAGGGATTCAGATTTAACTTAAATATTTCAAAAGTGTAACAATGGAGTATATCTTGGGGAAGGGAGGAGGGAAAGAACTTCCTAACTAAATCTTATCCTAGCTCATGTGTTGGAAAGCAACACTGAAAAAGTAAAACAAAAGCAAGTGACTGAGGTTAGAACAAGTCACTTCTTTGTAACAGAAATTACAGCACGTTTCAACATGTTTACAAACTGCATTTAAGGGAAGAAGGTGTGAGGAGAGAGAAAGAGTTAGAGGAAGTGATATCTAACCTGGTTTCTACCTGTCATTTCACTCCCTGGTACGACTGACGGGAAATGACACAGAATTACGTAAGGAAACCAGCTCTGCTGCCTCGTTGACAACAGGAGAGCTGTCGTCCTTCTGGTTTGGCAGAGTGAATAATAGCTCCAGCTCATATTGCCCTCACTTACTAATACTTCCTCACACAACAGAACACCATGTACTGAGAGAAGATTAAAGATAGCCAGTTCCAAGAATCATTTTTTACGTACTTAAGGGACTTTATTGCCCCAGGTGAGCAACACAAATGGCCTAAAGAGGTTCATCTCAAAAACTCAGGGCAAATAGCTGTAAAATAAAAACTCAGCAAAAATCTTTACTCAAACTTCACAGAATCACAGAATGTGAGGGATTGGAAGGGACCTCAAAAGATCATCCAGTCCAATCCCCCTGCCAGAGCAGGAACCTAAATGAGATCACACAGGAAGGTGTCCAGGTGTGTTTTGAATGTCTCCAGAGAAGGAGACTCCACAACCTCCCTGGGCAGCCTGTAAAGTACTTCTTGTAGGTGCTGAATTTCAAAAAGGGCAAGAAGTTCTGACGATCAGACTTACTGGTCTTACCTCCTCTTCTTCATCAGTACTGCTCAGGTCTTCTGCTTTCACCTTGTTATATATTTCTAATATATCAGTACAACTCTGATCCCTGCAGGACAACAACAAAAGCCAAAAATACATAATCAAGTATCTCAAACTCAAGATGTCAGGTCTATAAAGTAAAAAAAAACCCACACCTACCCAATAAAGCGAAGTAAGACATCTGTTACAATTTTGGCTGCTTTGACTATGGGACTGTCTGGCTCGTTGAAAGTCCTGGCATTATGTTCAATGTATCGTACCTCCCACATCAGTGCAGAGATTCTCCTAAAAAAAAACAACAACAAAAAAAGGGGATGGAGAGGAAGGTGTACCATATTTTCCTTCTGAGTTCAGAAAAAAAGATGTCCCTCTTCAAATCAGCAATGTATGGAATGAAAAGAGGAAACAAATCTACTGAAGGAGACTGTTGACTGGTCTCACTTAGAAAACCTTAGAGATAAAGTGGTCCTCAGGGGGAAAAAAAAAGAGCAGGACATTTTTTATCCCTAGGTTAACTGGAAAAACTGAGATTTCTAGTTTACAGCACTATTTAGCCCACTTCTGGCAACTGCAAGACAAGCAAAGCATCTGGTTTAAAGGCAGCAGAGGTACAGATGAGGCAAATACGTTCTGCCTGCAACGCATACAGAGAGTCAGTGTGTTAAACAAAAAAGACACTCCAGATCCGGATATACCAGCTTTTGCCTTAACAACGTGGCCAAAAGAAATCGTTTTTCAGTAGGACTCATTTTGCCTAAGGCCAAATAGAATCTGATTGTATGCTGTCAGCCCAGCAAAGAAACATGCTGCCAGAAATAATACTGGGATTACACACAACATTCATCTAAACACACTGTCCTCAGTTGGGCTATAGCAAATGCAGATTATAAACAAATAAAAATGCAACTGACCTATAAAATCTGTTTTCAAGCCTTCTCCTGATTGTGGTGAGGTCAGTTGGATAAGCAACAACAGTGCAATACATGGGATAGGCACTAAGGTCCACTGGAACAGCAAAGGGATTAGAAATGTCTGAAAGACAAAAGATCAAAATCATTTAGATGCCTCAGAAGACACCAGAACAAAAGTTGTCAGATAACTAGATTCCTTACAATGGGTTTTCTTTCTAAGAATTCTGCAAAAGCAATACAGCTGGGTATGTCATTACCCAAAGGGCAGGATCCTTCCATCTGTTAACTGCTCTTGGAAAAGCATTTTTTTGTTTAACTATTGCATCTGAGATTTGCACACCAGCAGCCAACTGAAAAGCAACATGGCATATGCACTTAAAAAAGGACTACAAGTGACATAAACTGAGAACACAGACATGTCCTATGTATTAATATAGGATAGAATTTAAATCATAGCGTGCTATTGAACTGCTACAAACTAGTGACCAGGTATTTGTTGGTGAGGATTTGCTAATTGTTTTTTTTTGAGGGGTCTAATTCAATGTTTTCCTTTATATTTAGATATGATCCACTGAGAATCCCCATTAAGTGTAAAGGAAGCAGGTCAAGCCCCAGAAAAAAGGGAGTATAACTGAAAATGACACCATATGAAATTTAAAAGGTTCTTTTCAATGATTTAGTTGAGCACATTTCAAACACTCCAGATCCTATTTACTCTTCAGTCACATGTCACCACATTGATATTCTTAATCATTCCACCTTTTCCTTCTAAACATACCAAGGGAAAGAAGTTGCTCAATCCCTCGGATTACTCGTTCACATTCTTCATCTCTGGAATGGGCGCCCCATTCTCCTTCCTGGGGTTTGTAGAGAAGAGCTGTCAGCTCATCTGGAGTCACAGGAACCCCAGCACCAACCTCCTCTGGATAAGCAGCTAAATATGAAGAATTCAGCAACAGTTAAGTACTAGCAGTGGCAAAAAAGTTTTTACTTTGTATATGCACATAAATTCAACACACACTTACTTCCTTCTGGAATTGGTTCCATGTCCCATGGACTCATCCTTTCTCTTTCATTATTGTCCCAGCTATTAAAAAAAAATACATTCAAATCCATAAGTTAGAGCTGAATATCATAGAATCATCATAGAATGGTTTGGGTTGGAAGGGACCTTAAAGCTCATCCAGTCCCAACCCCCCTGCCAGCAGCAGGGACCCCTTCCACTAGACCAGGTTGCTCAAAGCCTCACCCAACTTGGCTGAGAACACTTCCAGGGAGGAGCAGCCACAGCTTCTCTGGGCAACCTGTTCCAGTGTCTCACCACCCTCACAGTGAAGAACTTCTTCCTAATATCTCATCTAAACCTCCCCTCTTTCAGCTTAAACCCATTTCCCCTTGTTTTGTCATTAACTGCCCTTATGGAAAGTCCCTCCCCAGCTTTCTTGTAGCCCCTTCAGGTACTGGGAGGCCGCTATAAGATCTCCCCGGAGCCTTCTCTTCTCCAGGCTGAACATAATGTTATACCTTTTCTCTACCAGACTTAAAACAAAAAGGTCATGCCTATTAGAAACAAAACACGTCACATGCTACATGCCAACTCCTTACTTTGCTTTTTTGTCTCCTATATATATACACTGCACTGCTGTTTACACTAAAAATGTTGTTTTATGAATAAGTTCACAATTAAATAAATAAAACCAAAGGTCTAGGAGACCCAGAGCATGTAAATGTAGGTGATACAATCCAGCTACATCAATACTTACTGAACACAGTAGCACTGGAAGGAACTGTCGGGGTATTCTGCCTGGAAAGGCTGCTGACTCTCCACAGTTCCAAACCACCAAGCGTCATCTATTATACTGCGAAATCTATCCCCTAATAAGGAAAAAAACTGCATTCAGCAAAAGAACAACCTAAACAACTGTCAATTGCTTCTTTTTAGAGAATCTATTTCATCTTTCATAAATGCACCACTTCAAATCTGACATTTTGCACTACAGGAATCAAGCCTTTCCCCTAAAGGGAGGACTTTCACAGCTCTGGTTAATTAGTCACAGCTGCCTCCACACCTCAAATTACAATTTAACAGGACATTCTTCTGCTATCACAGGCCTCCTAAGAGTTTCTCTCATTTCTCTTTTATTTTTCTGCTATAGGAATTGCAGCAAACACCAAATAAAGTTTCTAATGATCTCTATAATATCACGTGTGGCACAGTCCTTTCTGTCATGTAATACAGACTCTGTATCCTTAAACAGCTGCAGAAATGCTGCAAAACATATGGAAGTGGGAAAAAAAAGTAGTCACCTATTTGCCAGTTCCTTTCTTTGGCTTCATTATAAAACTGATGCAGCACGAGGAAGTCAATAACATCTGGCATATCATGGTACCTTCATGAAACAGATAAAAACAATTGCCTCTATTACCCATAAACATAGAGTTGCACATGTACAATACAGACAAGATTTCATCCTTTTTGTTTTCAAGTTTGGCATAACACCTAATTAATGCCACCATCATGAGGAAAAAAAAAAAGAGAGGCATGAAGCTTCTAAACAGCAAGAAAATCTCTTGAAGAACATCATCAGCATTTCAGTTACTTACTTTATGGAAAATGATTCTCCTGTCATTTTGCCTGTGATTGGATCTAGGAATGCAAGCTTCAAGCAGCAGAGTGTAGGAGGCCCAACTTCATATTTGATTCCTACAGTCTTCACAAATTCTTGTTCCTATTTATCAATAAGCATGGAACAGTATTATTTTAACTTGCTAACAATAAAATCATCCATGTTAAAGTACGTTGTTTCCATTTTACAGCTCAGGTAATTTCACTCATAAAAGTTTTCTTTTCCAAATATTAAAAAATCAATCACAGGCATCTTAAAAAAAATATAAAATATATAAGATGCTTATTCCCTTGGTAGATTTGTAAGCAGGACACCCACAAATTATTTAACTTTTTAAAGAAAAAAAATCTAAGGACCATACCACTCTCTGGTTTTAACTGCATTGATGGCACCCAAGGTTATACGCGACCAAATCCAGAGCCTCTCGCCCTTACATAGCAACATACAGGGGAAATAAAAGGAAACTCTTCCTTTTAAAGTGGAAATTCAAAAATAGCCTTGTACAAGCACATCCTGTCCAACACAGGCAGGTGGTTAAGATCTCTCTCCTAAGTGAAATACTATTTCCTTTTCCTTACAAACTGCTGATGCCTTTGAAGATTACTGCTGGAATCACTGAATACCCAGGACTAGTAACTGGTTATTTTGTCCAATAAAGCAACAATTTTCATTAACAGATCCACTGGCATATACACAGATGAATATTAGCACATACATGTGCTCTTATCTTGGTACGAAATCTGAGTAAAGCAGAAAAGAATGTGGCAACACTGTGGATTAAGTATTAAGGGGCTCAGTGGTTCAAAGCAAAAGGATAAGAAAAATCAACAGAATTATGTACACTTAGTATCTACCCAAGCAATTCATAATACTTTTATTCTATAAAAATATGTTCTAAGGTATTTTCTCACCCTTCCAAGAATTTAAGAACATACACAATTAGCTAGATCCACTGTTCAACAAAGCCTGAGGTCTTTACACCATGATGCCTTACTTCTTATCACAGCATTTAAAACAATAATTAGAACCTAGATATTCAGGTCACTGTAGAGTGGCAACAGAACTATGAACAGCTTTTGAGAGGTGGGTTCTGCATGAATTAGTGCTCAGAAAAAAGAGTTATTAAATAATTTGGGTTGAGAGTGAGCCCATCAAGTCCAAAATCCTGACATCTGAGTCAGATCAAGCCACTCAGGGCTCGCCCTGTTGAGCTCTGAGTGGATGGAGATTCCACGCTCTCTCTAGGCAACATGTTGCAGTGCTTAACTACTCTTCCTCTGGTTTTTAAAAATTTTATTTAATATTCTACTGTTTTGGGTTTTTTTTTTAATCTATCAGGCAAGAATACCACACCAGATGAACTTCCACATTCTTTAATATCCTTCTGATCTGGAACCAAACAGATGTATAGGCTTTGTGTTAATGAAAACACTCATTTTAAGATTTACAATTTTAATTTTGATATTAACATTTTCAAGTAATGCTTTCTTCCTATTTTTCATACTGGTTTTTGATGTCAATTTAACATTACAGAGACATTCAGCTCTTTCAAGTATTTGTTTAACTTACCCTGAGTTCCATTTTGTTCCATGGTTGTTTTTGCATGTTAATACTGTAAATTTTTGCTTTCCTTACTGCCCGCACGTAAGCTTCATGGCCTTGTCTGAAGTATATGATCTTAAAATAAAAATAGAAATAAAAATTACTGATAGTTGTCTTCCTGTTCATTCTAAAATTTCTACAAACACATCAGGCATGTGTTTATTATGGCACGCTTCTTTATTTCATTATAAAGCACTCCTCTCCCTCAAAATATTTGTATCAGCCCCTCAAGTGGCACCTGCTATGGGATCATGAAGAAGTGTGCAGGTTTTTCTGAAGATGCACAATCATAGAATCATAGACTGGTTTGGGTTGGAAGGGACCTTAAAGCTCATCCAGTTCCAACCCCCCTGCCAGCAGCAGGGACACCTTCCACTAGACCAGGTTGCTCAAAGCCTCATCCAGCCTGGCCGAGAACACTTCCAGGGAGGAGCAGCCACAGCTTCTCTGGCCAACCTGTTCCAGTGTCTGACCACCCTCACAGTGAAGAACTTCTTCCTAATATCTCATCTAAACCTCCCCTCTTTCAGCTTAAACCCATTTCCCCTTGTTTTGTCATTAACTGCCCTTATGAAAAGTCCTTCCCCAGCTTTCTTGTAGCCCCTTCAGGTACTGGGAGGCCGCTATAAGATCTCCCTGGAGCCTTCTCTTCTCCAGGCTGAACAGCCCCAACTCTCTCAGCCTGTCCTCACAGCAGAGCTGCTCCAGCCCTCGCATCATCCTGGTGGCCTCCTCTGGACTTGTTCCAGCTGCTCCAGGTCTCTCTTGTGTTGGGGGCTCCAGAACTGGATGCAGTATTCCAGGTGAGGCCTTACGAGAGCCTTACAATCAATTGCTTCTGCAACTCACAAGTTACATGTGCACAAAAAAGAGACGTAGGACACTTACCTGTAAACAACTGATTGCCTGAGGAAAAAAAGTTATCAAAACTCAGCCTACCCTAAGCACGATTATTCACTGAAAATATTATTAAGATATCATGGTCCTGACCCAAAACTGAGCTCATCAACCTCAGTGGGAATTTCTACACTCCTTACCTCATCTCCCATTTGTGGGACAAACGGTGAGCGGCGGGGTATAGTATCCAAAATCCACTGCGGGGCGAGCCATTCCTCACTGGGTTCACCTTCCATCGAAAGCAGTCCACCTGGTTTCTTAAATATATGACATGAAATTCAGATTGCAAGCTGTAATTACTAGGGCAGAACATATGAAAAACTGGTGGTACAGCACTCACTGAAGATAACTAGATATAAGGGCAAAGCAAATCCTGGAATGTCAACCTTCCAAAAATAGTTGGAAGGCTGACATCCAACCAACCTCAACTAAATAGTAGGGAATAAGACACATTCATTATCAATATAATAGAAGATTAAAATGGTCATAAATAAAGATACTCTATTTCTTTCCTTAGAAACATTCTCAATGTCTTCTTGAAAAAATACTAGGAAAAAGAAATCTAACAATGGAGATACAACATAGATGCATTATAATTTTACAACAAAACCACCTTGGAGTAAATCTAACTGCACTGAATACATCCCACCTGTACTGGGGAACTACCTGCATGAAAATGGAAGGACATCTATGTCACCTCAGCACCAAAACCAAACAATTCTGGTATTACAATTGTTGTGCTATCTTTCTTACTTTATATTTTTGAAAATTTTTACTTTGAAAACAACCACTCCAAAAAAAAGGTATATTCATAAAGTCAAAAAGACCCTCAAAAATTAAAAATGCTGACCTTCTTTCTAGGCTGCTTAAGTTTCCTTCGTTTTGGCTCCAGTCCTTTTGTTCCCTTCATATTTTCATCTTCAGAACTACTACAGATCTTCCGAGCTGCCTGCCTGGTTTGTCTCTTTGGAGGCTGGAGATTAATTCCAGCATCTGCTGTCCAGTCAGAATATTCACTTGATGAATCACTGTCGATAATAAAAAAAAGTTGTAAGAAAGAAAACAGCATTTCAGTTTTCACACAATAGAGTGAAAGGTCCTGAAACATTCAACCTGCTCTTCTGGTTACGTGGAACAGATGTTAGGATTAGCACAAAGTTTCATTTTCCTGTGAACTTCAAGAAAATCTAAGTGTTATCTAGTTTGTGTATTTCAGCAAATTATTTTATCAGTTGCAAATTCAAGGTAAAACTACAGTTATGGTTGATACCTACTTTCATACCAAAATAACCTCACTGATTCATAGACTGACTTCATAAGAACCAACTGCACAAAATACATGAAAAATTCAGAAAACCAAAGCACTCTTCTAAAAATACAGTTCTGACTTCTTTATATGCAAAGAACACACATACAGTATTTATATTAGCTCATGGCCTTTCCAGCCATAAAAGCATAACATTAAGAATAACAAAAGAAACTGGAAAAAATGGACACAAATACATATTGACAACAGAAAAATTAGGAAGACAGAAGATATTTACACACCTCTATCAATATTTCTATTGTATATGACTAAATGGCATTGATTTTTTTCCAGCAGTTCTTAATTAAAGATAACAATTTGGTCTTTCAAAATTGTTTGACTTTGCAAATAAGAAAATTAAAACATGGAAAACCAGAAAAGGTTTCGTGAATAATTGGAAAAAATGTCAGTCTTCAAAATGAGAATTTTTCACAGTGGTTTTCTGTTAAACACTGTTATAAAAACTTCTACAATTATTTATTCACTCAAATACATAAAAGTATTTGTTTGTTCAAAGACTTCACAAATTTTGTTGGTTACCATTTTCAACTACTTAAGTGTACTAAACTCTTTGCTTCAATCTGTCACAAGGTGTAACAAATCTCTACTGACTTGTAGTCATAGTATCACACTATCAACTGTCTCACTTAATTATATCATCAACTAAGATTAACAATTAAGACAGCAGTAAAGTTACCTGGAACTGCTTTCACTCTGCCATGCTGCCACGGGATCATCCATAGATGCATCACTTGTGCCAACAGTCTCATCTTCCTGTATTAAAAACAAAAGGTTTAAAATGTATAATTTTTGTTTGCAAGGAAGTTGTATGACTTGTCTCACCTGAGGAAAGCTTTGTTTTTAAGGACTGGTTTAGCTTAAAGTAAGTCCCCAATTTCTTTCTCTATCTTACTTAATATTATACTATATGTTTACATAATTTCTATAGAAAGAGATGTGAATTTAATGGTATTAGAACCATAGAATGAGTTCTTATTGAAGTGTTCAATTAATAAATTGTTGTGTCAAATGACCAGCTGTATAAATATTCTGTACGTCCAATGCATTTATAAAGTGACAATGTTCACTCTCTTTTTAATTTGCATGCTTCCCTAATGAGAACAAGTTTATTTCATCTGGTATATTTTAAGTTCTTCCCTGGCCAATATCAATGATTTATACCAATGCTCAATCTCTTTCAACAGCAGTCTACAGATGCAGATGAAATCAAAGCCCTGAACGTGACCTAGAATATATGTGCAGTAGGAAATCCCATAATAGCAAGTGGTTTAACACAACCCACTTAAATTTGCTTGAAAATGGTGCAGATTTCCTAAAATATACAGCTTTTTTTAAGCTAGTTTGGAATACCATATGGGCATTGAGGTAAACAATCCTTCTCTCTCCACTATCAACTTACTACGCTACCACCACAAATCCAAGTGACTCAAGTGTTTACTCCTAGGTGGAGAAACTCAAAAGCCTTAATGGTAACAATGCTCTCAGCACATCTGTTATCAAATCACACTGTTTGTGAACAGGGAACCTATGGAAAGAATCTGTTGGTGTGTCAGACCTCTGAGGAGGTGTCTGATTCCTCCCGTGCCCGTGCGTTCTGACTCGCTCCTTGCTGACTGTGCTCTATCGTGGAGCGCGTTTGGTAGGCGTGCTGGCGTTTGCGTTGGTTTCTTCTCAAAGACCTTCCACTTCCTGGTTGGTAATCGTTCTTTTGTCATGGGACAGGAGGGACATAAAGAAAAATATTAAGTAATTTAATAATTAATGAGACAGTTATTAAAAGCCTCATTAAAATGACTGAACATTGCGTTGTGTTTACAAATGACAAGTAGGAAATCTAGGATTAGAAAAGGTGTTTTTTAGACACTTGTGGTTCATTTCAGTGCACGTGCAGGTGGCTTTTTTGGTTCGAGATCAATTCTACTTTTTAAAAGTAGCAGTCCTTAGAAAGAAAGTTATGGAGAAATGTAATTTTTTTCTTAAAAAATATAGCAGTCTCTGGATAAGATAAAAGCCAGCCACTTCAAAAACGTGTGGCTCCTTTAATATTTCTCACAAGTCAAACTGAACGTCCACTGTGGCTCTGCTCTTTTCACAGAATCACAGAACGTGAGGGATTGGAAGGGACCTCGAAAGATCATCCAGTCCAACCCCCCTGCCAGAGCAGGAACCTCAATGAGATCACACAGGAAGGCGTCCAGGCGGGTCTTGAATGTCTCCAGAGAAGGAGACTCCACACCCTCCCTGGGCAGCCTGTCCCAGGGCTCTGCCACCCTCACTGGAAAGAAGTTTCTTCTCAAGTTGAAGCAGAACCTCCTGTGTTCCAGCTCACACCCATTGCCCCTTGTCCTACCATTGGGCATCACTGAGAAGAGCCTGGCTCCATCCTCCTGACATTCACCCTTTACATATTTATAAACATTAATGAGGTCTCCCCTCAGTCTCCTCTTCTCCAAGCTAAAGAGCCCCAGCTCCCTCAGCCTTTCCTCAGCAGGGAGATGCTCCACTCCCTTCACCATCTTGGTGGCTCTGTGCTGGACTCTCTCCAGCAGTTCCCTGTCCTTCCTGAACTGTGGGGCCCAGAACTGGACACAATATTCCAGATGTGACCTCACCAGGGCAGAGTAGAGGGGGAGGAGAACCTCTCTTGACCTACTAACCACACCCCTTCTAATGCACCCCAGGATGCCACTGGCTTTCCTGGCCATGAGGGCACAGTGCTGGCTCATGGTCATCCTGCTGCCCACCAGGACTTTTCCTTTCCTAGCATCTTCCCACTACTGAAACCTTAAGAGATATTTACCACTGCTGTTTGCAAATTACAATATAAAGACAGACAAATTCCAGTTACAGAAGGAAGACAAAGAGCCAGAGAAACAATTAGTACTATTGATCTTCTAAATCATTTAATAAAATTGGTTTGGGGTGTTTTGTTTTAATTTTGCTCAGTGCTCAGAACTGCTTCACACCCAGGTTCTCTCTCCTCGTGAATTAACTCACCCGTTGCAAGGTGTGGGATGGCTTTCTCTTCTTTTCAACAGTGTATAAATTAATTTCAATTTCACCTTTGGCAGCTCGACATTCTTCCTGGACCCTAATTACACATAACAAACATCCATTTAATTCAATAAATCATCATATAACTTGACAGTTTTATTAACAGACACATTAAAATACTTAAGGTTCTCTTGCTACAAGAAATCTGTGCACAGGTACTCTTAAAAGCATCCTCACAAACAGAATCAAAGCATTGTCCAGATTGGAAAAGCCCTTTAAGACCATCAAGTCCAATCATTAACCCAACACTGAGAAGTCCCCAACTAAACCATGTCCCTAAGCCCCTGGAATCACAAGTTAAGGAAGCAAACTTGTTAGGTGAGCATGCAAAATTATTTTCAAGACAATGGAAATGTAATCAAATTATTTTTGTGTGTTTTTTTAAAATAAAACTTCAGAAAAAACGTGAACAACTGAAGAAACATTCAGTTGTGAAGAGAAGGAAGGTCACAGAGGCGACCACTCTAATCCTAAATCCATATTGCAAAACAAACAGACAACCCAACCCCCAAAAGCCAACACATTTCTGAAAAACAGCTTTATAAAGCTCATAACACGTGTATGATCATTAAACACCACACAATTTAATCTCGTTTCCCTGTCTCACTTAGCATCTTACTTGCTGATGCCTGGAGGAAGCTCATTCACCACCACTCTCCTGCTCCATGCCATGAGATCTCTCTCCGTTGCCATTTGGCTGCGAGGAGCGTTGTGGTGCATCTGCCGGACGCCTTCGATCTGACCACTTCTCCGGAGACCAACGTTTGGTGGAGATGTAACATCTAAACCTGGACTTCGAAGAGCTAAGGAAGAAAAAGATTTGTCTTCACTTCTATAAACCATCAGTGAAATCTAGAACTTAAAGCTCAAGAACTACACAGAGATTTATTTTTTTGGCAATCAACAACACTTCTTCTACGTTAAGTGCCTGAATCTTTGGCTTCAGATAAACATTTTTGTGTATTAGCCTTGGACTACTGGAGATGTGTATGCTACTGTAACATCATTGTGGCTTGCTATATTCTTAGAGGTATCTGAGGCAACCAAAGAATATAATCTATGAGAAAAGGTTTAAAGGCACAGAATCCCAGAATTACCTGGACTGGAAAAGACCTTTAAGATCATCGAGTCCAACACTGACAAGTCCCCTATGACTAACCCATGTCCCTCAGCACTATGTCTACAAAGTGACCTTCTTTGGTCTCTGAAAGCACTTAAGTGACCTTCAAATCAAAGTCTTGTCAACTGTTTAAAGGGTCTAAAATCACAAATCTTAAATTCTGTGGTACAAGAAGAGATGAGGTTCACATGTAAAATAACAGAGTGCTGCAAGGTTTGAGGTTTCTGTTGTACCTCTGTTTGTCCTGTATTTTTCATGCTTATCCCCTGTGCCACAGGCACCACTCCTGCTCTGGGCTTTTCATCAGGTGGCACAACACAGTGCTACGTGCTCAGGAGAAACAGACACTTCAGGTAGCAAAGCAAGACAAAAAGGCTGATAATAAATATCAGAATCAGTGCCAGCTTTGCCTTAATTTATCTCATCATTTGGTAACGCATCAACACAATTTCCCTGTGCTTAAATATGGTTAGCTGCACAAATAAATTGCACTTACAGTTGTGCAAACCTATTTAAAAATATCCAGCTATTTAAATATCAAGTACTTTATATATACTTTAATTAATTTACACAAATGGGTAGTTCATGTAGCAAAGTCACTGATCAATGCAAGTTCTATAAAGTAAATGCTTTAATTTCTATACCACTTGTATCTGGAAATTCCCTTTCTACAGGGACATACAAATAAAACTGAGAACTGGGATTGCACAACACATCAACCCATCCCAAGAAGCAGAAAAGACTTCTTGGGAGTTGAAGCTGGCTTCTAAGCCACCTTCTTAACAATACCAATTTAGATCCAAGCAAAAGTGTATTTTTAGCATTTTTCACTAATATTTTTCCTATTCCTTCTTGAATTTAAAGACAAGCAACTCCAAATCTAGCAATGCCCCCTCCCTGGAAGTGTTCTCGGCCAGGCTGGATGAGGCTTTGAGCAACCTGGTCTAGTGGAAGGTGTCCCTGCTGCTGGCAGGGGGGTTGGAACTGGATGAGCTTTAAGGTCCCTTCCAACCCAAACCATTCTACGATCCTATGATCCTAATGAGTTTTGCCAGGACATCTACTTCAAACGTGTAATCAGTCATTTAATGTAGAATTAGTTTATTAGCAAATGTACATTTTTTAAAAGCTGGGGATGTCTTGCAGCACAAGTCCACAGCATCTGCTCTCCAACATCAGCTGCACTCAGTCAGCTGCTCACATCTGACTGAGTCTCTTTTAAATTTTTAATCGCTTTGTGTATTAAAAAAAAAATTAAAAAAAATCACAGTAGCAGAACATTTACCAGGAGAATAATCTCCAGCTTTCTAAAGAAACACTAAGACAGAGCAGACATGTTTATTTTATAAACACTGATGCTCAGCTTCAGCTCTAATGCTGCAACAGGAAGCCATTAGTCTGTCACAACATCGTAATCCACTGACATTCTCTAATTATATACTGTTGTCTTGACATTTGGCAGTTACAAAGTATCATCTCTGCAGTGACTAAGTGACATCAAGACATTTAGTCTTGATGCCTTGAACTTCATGTTTATTTTTTAGGAAAGGTCTGTAACAGAAATAATCACAGTCTCATAGTTCCAGGTAATCAGATACAGCCCCAGTTAGACCATCGTGTGCCCTCAGCTGCACCTTAAACTTTGAATTCCACTGCCAGCATCAGCAGAACGTGCAACTGCTCCACACAGGTTAACAATGGGTATGAGAACAAGAGAGAAAAGCATCCTCAGAGACATAGTCCCAGAACTCACATCAACACATTCTGATCTGTACCTTACTGTGCTTTAGGAAAAGAAATGATGGAAGTAAAGAAGGGACACTTACCTCCAGTAACAGAGTGGGATCTATTGAGTGGAGGGTTTGGAAGAGTTTCTCCTTCATTAATTAGTCTCAGATCTTGTTCCCTCTGTAGCTCTCGGATCATCCCATCAAGGATACTCTCATCTTGGTCATTAGTTTGCTGTCCAATGACTTGTTCAACTACTTCACCATCACCTTGACAAGAACAAAGCCACAACTGCTTATGAAACAATTAATTTCTGTTTTACTAAACATCACAGAAAAAAAAAAAAAATCAAATTTTAAATTGTGCACAATTATTTGCCTGCTCAGCAAAACATCTGATCACCAGCTGGCCTTCTGCTCTCATGTAATAAATGGAGGCAAAGTTTAAAAGAGAAGTTACAATAAAAACCTAAAATTGCAGACCACATGTAAAATATAAACACAAACCCTTAGAAATGGCAGAAAGAAATTATGCTCCAGTAGGTAATAATGGAAGATTTTTTTTTTTTAAAGGCAGGTAGTGATAGAACAAGGGGTGATGGCTTCAAACTGGAAGAGGGGAGATTGAGAAGAGATCTGAGGAAGAAATTCTTGGCTGTGAGGGTGGTGAGACACTGGTCCAGGTTGCCCAGAGAAGCTGTGGCTGCTCCTCCCTGGAAGTGTTCTCGGCCAGGCTGGATGAGGCTTTGAGCAACCTGGTCTAGTGGAAGGTGTCCCTGCTGCTGGCAGGGGGGTTGGGACAGGGCTTTAAGGTCCCTTCCAACCCAAACCAGTCTGGGATTCTGTGATCAATTTTTGCCAAAGGTTTATATCTACAAGAAAAAAAATCTGGTTTAAAAAACAGAAACTCTTTTTTCCATGTCTTTCTTCCTTCCTGCTTCCTTACTCATATACACAGTTACACTGAGGTTTATGGGACAATTCTTTAAGCGTGCTGTCATATACCTGGTAGAAGCCCACTGATTTTGAAATACTGCATTCTCCTCGTCTTGCCTCCAGTCAAGTTAATTCCATACACTTCCTCTATGTCATAAAGCCACCCCATTTCCTCTTCTGCCTCTACACTGAATTTAAACCACTAGTTTCAGAAGACAACTGAAACAAACAAATCCTCATAGTCCCATCCCACTGAGCTGGTGCTCAATACTGTGCAATCCATGTATTATGCATAAATTTCAGACAGCATACCATTAGCTACATATCCCAGCTGAGGAATAAGTTGTTCATCCTTGCAATTTTCTCTCCCTGGTACCAGTCGTTGGAATCTGGTGGGATGAGGATTTCCATCCACATCCACCAAGAAGGGAGGAGGCATAAGATGCGGAGCCTGTTGAGTCTGTTCATCCAGCACGTAGTTATTTGCATCACGGATCAGTGGTCGGTAATCCGTATGGAAGAACATCTGATCTGGAATCTGCAAGAAAAGCAATTTAGTAAATAAATCAATGGCCATTTGCAGCTGTCTTGATGCTTTGGAAGGGCTCCCATACCCATAAACCACAACTCCTACACTGAGGATCAGCAGAAGAAATGTTATGACAGAGAACAGATTCCTACCACAAATGTGTTTTATTACTAAGGCCTGATGCAAAACATGCCAACAGAGGTGAAGAGGCAGAAGTTAATGCTTTGTTTCCCTGTCTAGAGATTCTCTTGTCTAAATCTTTTTGATTTAGGTAAACAGCAACTGCTTCATGATCTAATTACTATTTTGTCCGGGGCAGGGTGAGGGAATAAACTGTAACATAAATATTTCTAAGACAAAATTAGGTCAAGACACAGAAGAGTTTCAAATTCATTCAACTCACCTTTTCATAATATTTATTGCATCCAAAACCAAATAGCAGCAGATGTCCATGAGAATCTGTGCAGGCAAAATGCTGTCCATCTGGTGAGAACTTGCAATCAAAAACAGCTCCGTGGCCTTGGCCCTCAATCTGTGTAACAAGCACAGAGCATCCCTTTCACAATCATGCATGCTCTGTAAAAGCACTTTAATGAAAATTTCACCTGTGCTCCATCAAGTATTTAATCCTAATTCTGTGTAAATTCTCAGCTCGCTCAAGACTGATTTACACTTAGATTTTTTCACACTTAATTATTAAAGCTAAACTGAACAAGGCAGTAAAACTTTGCATTTTCTCTTTGTCCTGAAATTTCAGTGCAACTTTTAACGTATGTTCTGAATCAACTACCTAGAAGTCTGTGTTTTATGTTAATGGCAGACACAGGACAAGCCTGCAGCAAAGATCTCAGGTGTGTATTGGCTCTGTACAAGCAGGTTTCACAGCCCCAAGTGCCAGGAGGCTAGCTCAGATCCTGAAGCAGCACAGCTGCATTTGCTCAGCACTGGAATCAAACCAACAAACCTGGGCACATTAAGATAAATGTGGCACAGAGCCAACCACAGCATTTCCCAGACCACAGCCATTGTGCTTATCAGTTTTCATTGCTCTGCCTTCAGACTGTCAGCTTTTGTGGGGTATAACCATACCCACACACATGAATAACACTCAGATGTAAGAGATCCCACGAAAAACTTGCTGATACAATAAGAAAAAACATACTTTGGCATTGCTTACTGAAGAGTCTACAGTTTTCTTTTTAATATGTAGGAATTTTCCCCTAATCCTGTTGTAACATTGGTCATAACAGGTACATAATGAAATCTGCTTTTGCCTCAAGATCAGTTTTACACAGATGTGCAAAAAAACCCCCCCAACTTTCCCTGATCATTCTTACCATATTAAAGTAATTGCGAATTTTTGTTCCTTTGTCTATATCCCAAACAAAAATATTTCCATCATGACCCGCTGAAAGTACAATCCTTTGGTCAAAGGGATGGGCCTCCAGAACAAAAACTTCATCATCGTGACCCTGCAATGAAAACAGGGTGAGAAAGAAGGCAATGTTAATGCATGTAATATTTCCAAACATGCATTTAGTGTGAGGACACCTCAGTCCAGGTGTCATCCAGGACAGCTCAATTCACCAGATCTTAGACCAGAGTTGCATCTATATTTAGTCAACATTTCTAACAAAGAGGCTTTGCATTATCACTGTCTGCTTTGTAAGTGCCTTGGACTGCAGCTCAGCACAGCTGAGATGGAGAGGGATGGGAAGGAAGGAGAAATCAGCAGAGAGGATGGCTACAACCCTCTAATTTGGGCACAAACAGTGACCTCCAAAGGGCTCCCTTGTCAGTCAGTTATCACCAGGGTCTAGCAGCATTTTAGTCACCAGCTCCTTTCCCCATGATTACGTACTCCTCCTAGGAAGCATAAAACAGGTGGCATACTTCAGGACAAAATACTCCTTATCATGGGGAATGATGATGCAGTTTAGCCTCAAAACAATGTCAGAGTTGAACTAGAACCATTTGGGATTATCCACTTGAATGCTACTCACAGATAAGCTATGAAGAAGCTGCCCTGTGGACGAGTTCCACACTTTGAGAAGGAAATTGTTGACTGCAGTGATGACAGTGGCATCATATCTATCCCAAGCCACCATAGTCACCTTCAGTTTAGTCACCTTGTCCTCCCCAGATGCTACATTGTTTCTAAAGAAATTAATAATTAAAAAAAAAAAGGAAATAAATCAGTAACTACACACAGAAACATTTAACAGTGCTAATTCAGGATGAAATCAGGGAGAGCACGGCGGCCACCACTGTGACTACTGGCTAATGCAGGAGAATGAAGGATGGCTTCTGCAGTGGTAAAACAGATGCAGAAAATACTCAGTACCACTAAGATTTAGAGTTTTATTTCCTTAAAAAAAGACAAGTTCTTCTGTTGTTCTGAAGTGATCAGCCTTGCCTACCCCACAATTCTTTCATCCAAGCTATTCAGTTCTAGTAAGTTCTTTTCCTACAAAGTATTTTTCTTATCAATCTTCAATACGAGTAAACTCTGTAATGAACAAAAACCTGCTAAATAAATCCAAATGGTATTTTGACAAATAACTTATTAAAAATGTAATCATATGAAATATAAAGAATTCTGCAAAGCAAAATGCCTAATGGCTTTCTCCATCTCTGCTTTTTGTTATTGTGCATATTCAATTACAAGGCCACTTACAGAAGTCACTTGGGGATCTCAAAGAGAAAAACTCAAACCCTTAATTGAACCTGAGAACCAAATCAACATATCTCATCTCTTACTTGAAAACCTTAAGGAAAAATAGAATGTTAAGGAATGTTCTGAGTATATATCACAAGAATTCTTCCAGGCAACTCAGGCCTTGGAATGAAATAAGAAATGTGTTTACAAACAAATATTGTTAGGAAAAAGAATCTGTTACACCTCTCATTAACTTTCTGCTTAGTGTCATTCGTCCTCAGGTGGGTAAAATGAGCTGTAATGTGCAAAACCTCTTTTTTTTAAAATTAAAATTATTTACTAACTTGATTTACTGGAATAGTAACTGAAATCATGGCAGAAGCTGTGTGATGCTAGATGCTGTTGAACTTGTCAGTATTTGCATTCATATCATACACTTTGCTCATTTTTCTCTATTTTAACTTAATTATTCATTATAATTTTAACTGCATCCCATAGTATAAAAACCAAAACAGCAGAAGATATAACATAAAATAAACACTAATGATCTGAGGAGACTGATTATTACTTTGCTGAGAGATGACAGAAAAAAAACAGTTGTTTTGGACTTTTTTTAAAAAATGTGTAGGTCAGAATATCATCAATGAGGTTCTACTAAAATCTCCTTCTGTGAGATGAACTCTATTTGACATTCTTGCTGCATATGTAAAGTACTAAATATTCCCCAACCATTAGAGTAAGGAACTACTAATGTATTAATATTTTCTTTTGGGGGCTATTTAACTGTGTAACTAAACAAATAGAGTCATGGCATTTTCAATAGACAAAAAACCATAAATTAATGTAAAATGGAAGTAAATAAAGTTTTCAACATGACAGAAGATTTTATTTCGTGTGTCAATGTTGTTACGAAGTGTGTTGTGGTTTGGTTTGTTTTACCCTGTCATTTTAGTAGCCATATCCAGGACTACACTCTTCCAATCTTGTTGCTGATAGTGCCATATTCTTGCTGTTCCATCTCTGCTTCCGCTGACAAATCTTAAGCTATGGAAAAGAAAAAAAAAGAAAAAATAATGAAATTCTGAATAAGTCACTGCTGCTTTTGTTCTAATACTCACATGCCTAATGTAGGATTTTATTTTCTCACTATTCAGTGGCTTTGCTATGGAGTTTTCCATCCTTAGCAAGAGCGTGGGCACGCAAAATCCTGTGGTAAGAACATTTAGGAGCTTGGCAAAGGACTGACATTCACCTTAGGAAAGGTCACTACAAGCACTTATTTCTGGGTTCCTCTGCAACAAACCTGCACACATGCACACAAATATATATGTATATATTTGGAAGTGTCTATTTGTGCATGTATTTCTTGCCTTACTCTATATACACCCACACATAGGCGTGTTTAACAGCTCATAAAATATCCGTGAACTACTGCCACAGGAAACAGGCAGCTCCAAAACGCTGGCAAGCCAAGAGCACACCCATTCACACCAACACAGGAGCTAGAATGTATTCAATCTTCTTGGGTTTTTTTTTTTCAACACTTATTCTTTTATATTGTTTGTGCATCTCTGATCTAGAGAATGTAATTAAAAGCCAGCGAGGTTACAATTTTCATATCAGATATTGTACGGTACAAACAAGTTTCTATCCCACAACATTAATTACATTGGGTTACAGCTAGCAGATGGCCTTGGAATGACTTCAATGTCGTAATTCATCCAAGCTGCACATTCCCTTTTTAATGACATCAGCAAATCTCTCGAGCAGTTCATAGTGGCAGCAAAGAAAGAGAAACTGCGTGCCAGGAGTCTAGCATAAATTATAATACATTAACTCAGGGAGAGGGTGAAGACAGAGAAGGGAAATACTCAAGTTGAACGCAAGTAGGTAGCTCTGCCTGTGAAGTTGAACATGAGTAGTTTCATTTTTAAACTCCTCCTTGTTTAAAAATAAAAAATCAAGTATTCAAGCAAATGCGTTCATCTGCATCATAATGCTTTGGCTATCAGTGTCATTAAAAAATTCTCAACAAAAATTATTTCTAAAAGCTCCTCAACTAATACACTTCCACAGGTCAACACCTTTAAAAGTATATTCCATTTATCAACAAAATTACATGTAAAAAGCCAAGCCTATTCAATTTTATTTTAGTAAGTGTTTCACCTTTTCAGTTTCACTGATCCGATGAGAAAGCGTTTAGAAATGCTTGTGGCAAGTTTATTTTCTTTTTCTTTTTATCTCTTTATATTAAAATTAAAAAAGAAGCTATCACTTTGCCATTAAAAGCATCACTTTTCAGTGACTACGTGACCTAACATCCCCAGTCAGACCCGTGGCTCTCACATTGCTTAGAAGGAACAGTTAGTACAATTACACCAGCACATTCCCACAACATTTTACATGACAAAGATCTCCAAGCACAGGTGCAGTTCCACTGGCAAAGCTACAGTTTTGCTTGGAAGGCTCCTGCTTGCATACACGCCTTAAACTTCCTGCCAAGCAAAGTGAGGAATATGAGTAAAAACTGGCATAAAACCATTTACATTAAGATGCTGATCACTAATCAAAGCTTGTCACGTCACTCTCCATCCCAGCTGTGCTGCACAAGTTTGATGCACAGACGTGGCTATAAGCACCTTGCTAGATTTTATCATGAGCATCCTGATTTTGTTATGGAAGAGACAGCCCGACTTAGCATGGTTTTAAAAACTGAAAGCGTTGCAGGTTGGAATGGTTCACTTCATAAATTTTAAGACCACAAGATAACTGTTATCATTTAAACAAATTAACTGGAAATGCATATATTTGCCTAGAAATTCACATATTTGCTAGGTATGTCATCAGAGATAAGTGAATTATTATGAATAATAAAGACCACCAATGAAATTATCATCAAGATCCAAAGGTTTTAAGACTGTGCCTCTGTAACTGGTTCTGGACAGGTGGAAGCAATCAAGGACCATGAGTTCAGGGAGTGTGTGATGTGTGTGTAGAGTAACTGACCCATATACTCCATCCCAGAAACTGGTGAGAGTCAGTGCTGCAGCTCATCATTAGTCACACAAATGAACACACACCCACACAGTTTTCACTCCAGGAAATGCTCAGATCAGGGCATTTAATAGCACTCTGGGTGACATTAAGCTATCCAGACATACTGGTGACTCAGTGAAGACTAAAGATAGTGGGCTGCAAGAAGACACCACAAAACTACAGTAGGATATTACTGAAGTATTACATAAAGCATCCAAATCCTTGTGAAAAGCCAAATGTAACGGGAAGAACATGTGTAAAGGAAAGTTTTAATTCCAAATGCAGATAAATTAAGCATGGGAATTTTATTTACTAAGAAGATTGGATCCAAACGTGGGATGTGAGGATCTTTATATCCCACTGAAGAGCTGTTCTTTGCTTATTCCCCCATGGAAAAAAATCAGAACTGTTTTGTTTTGGTGATTTCAGTTAAAAAACAAAAACACAAGAGGAAGGATGAGGGCCTGGTTATTCATTGTATCATGTTTATCATTCTATAACCTCACAGAAACTGAGCTCTTATCAATTGTGTGTGTATGAAAACAAATACTTCCCACATTTTTCAGAACTCTCAGCACCAGAAGAGACAATTTGCTTATTCAGTGTGCCCAGAGAGGGCCTGGCAGAAGAAATCATTCACCAAGGAATTAAATAAGACCATTTTTGCTGTTACAGCAGAGGACAGCAAGTCCAAGCTCATGGATATGACATACATCTTGCAATATATTTTAAATACTTTGTCTTAAGAATAATCAGAGCCCATGTGCAGTCTTCCTGTCGCACCAAATTTTCTCTGCAAAGTTATTTGGAAAATTAAATACTGTATTTTTCATGTCAAAATACCAGGACAGTCACTCACCTGTCACCATTGTTACAGAACTGGACGGCAACCACTTTGTCCTAAATAGAAGGAGGAAAAAAAATAGTCTTAAGTCCTTTTTAAATTCAAACACTCATCCAAAAAGATCTTAATTAGGAGCTTCTATTTAGCAGATTGCATCTCCCCATACATTTCCTGCAACACACTATCTTACAAATTCAAGAACAGAAAAGTCACGCTTGAAATTAACACTTCCTCATCTTTTTCAGGGGCAGGCTGACAGCCGTTTGTTGTATTAAGAAGAGGAGACTTCAAAAAATTAAAGGAATCACAGTTTCTTCCAAACCTGAACTGCTGAATATAGAAAACATTTTTTCTTTCATGTTAAATGGGAGATCTGTGACTCCCACTGAAGCTCAGTGTTCATCACCTGCTCTTGGTAACAACTAAGAAATTAAGAAGAATTTGATATTGTTTTAGTGGCACTCCTTTATGGGATCTCATTGAAACGGAGACATTCAATGATTTTAATAAATCTATTAAGACTCAAACTTGAAAACTAACATTGAAAGTCATCGTACAGATATGTTAAATAGTCTGAATTTTTATGAGAACCCTTCTGCACTACCTGAGAAAGGATGCTTTTAAGCTGGCTTCATTTTCTACATGAAATTACGATCATGATCCAAAGTTTGACTGCACACTCTAAAACCAGAATTATTTTAGTTTTTCTTGTTATGTGGATTTGTGGCCACAACTAAAGTTAAATACTCAACAGTAAATTTAATAAGAAAAATGACGTCGTGTATGAAAACTGCCTTAATTCCTCATTCCAACACAGACTTTCTTCCAGAATATCAGAAAATCACCTCGTCCCTCAGTTTCCTGGGGGAATGAAATACATAAAGCATATTTTACACACACCTCCTGCCTCAAATTTAAAAAAAAACATATCACAAACTTCCAGGCGTTTAAATACCACACTGTTGAGAGCCAACTAAACTCTAAAGACAGAATATAAGTTGAACAGGATGTACAAAACCTGCAATAAGGTAAAGCAGAGGGGAAAAAAAAAGAGATTTGCTTGTGATTTGTCTCTTACCGTATGAGATTCTAACTCAGCCATTTTCTCAGGTGATTCTGAGCCCAAATAATAAATTCTTATCACATGGTCAGTACTACCTGTTGCAATGAACATGCCACCTAAGAAAGACAGTGTTTTCTGTGAGAAGAAAAGCCATCCAAGAAACAACTTATTTTCATCACTGCTTTATTATCCAAGCAGCAAACTACAGTTTTAAACAGAAAACTTCAGTACTCAAAACATATGCCCTGAATAAAGAAATTAACTCTGACAACTTCTTCTTTAATCTGTATTTTCTCAGACCATACCAGCTCTAGCAGAACTATGTGCTCTACGATATTTTCCAGCTGCAAACCTTTCTGACCAAAGGAAGAGAATATTGCAAGTTACAACATTTATCCAACAAACTATTCTGCTTTCCCTCAGAAATTACCACAGCACTCTCCATCAGCCTATGCAGCAAAATTAGACACGGAATAGTTTAATATCCTCACTGGTAAATATCAAATAAAATCTTTAAGTGCATCTTCAATATCTATTTGAAGCACATCAGAGAGATTATTGCTGAATCGGGAGTCAGCAATTAAGCTGCTTTCTTCTCATGTTTGTTCTGTTTACAATATTGCATAAAAAGGGCACTATTGTGCAGTTTATGGCACTGAAATGGTTTGAGTAATTTCAGGATTTCTGGTTTTAAAAAGGAATTGTGAGCAAGGCTCACAGGGCTCTAGAATAGCTCTCAATTTCAGAGAGCAAAAACTAATGAGATTACAAAATTTTGCTTGTAAAAATCACTATTTTTGAGAAGTCAAAGCTGCAAAGGATGGCAGTTAAGCTGATATTTACAAACACATTGAATCAACCCTCCTAGAATTTAGACAAATATGTAAGACTAGCAAAACCAGTAACCTCTGAACAGGTAACTAAGCATAACTGTCTGCCAGATTTCAAGAACTTTTCACTCAAAAACTTAACAAGATGAAAAATAAAAAGATATTACAGAGAAAAAGCTCTAACATGCAAAACAACAGACAAAGTGCAGTCTTCTCTGAGAGTTGTCATGACTTTTTAGCTTAAATTAGAGAAAAAAAAAAAAGAGAAAAAGCATCTTGGGGCAGACACTTAGCATGGAAAGTTTCAATCACAATTTGACAACGCTGTAATCAACTGAAAAAGAGTTTAATACTATTTATATTTAAAAAGTTAACAGTCCTGTCACCAAAGAAATGATAGTTCATAATATATTTACAGCTACCTGACAAGGAATACGTACCAGAACTGAAAGATGAACAAGATATCTGAACACCAGGCCTGGACCTCTCAGCAAATTTAACAGGACGATCCCTATAGGCAACAACACAATATATTTATTTTTCATTACTTTATTTGGATGCTGTTCAACAAGAACAGTACATTGCAGCTCATGGGTCAAGGTCAACATGCCCACCCTCAATCAATTTATTTCAGAGTTCTCACACAAGTTTGCTGGAACTTATTTTTCATTTTAGTTATTTTCTTCCTGAGTAGGATGAAAACCATCATTTTCTACATTGAAAAGACTATTTAACTTATTTATCATGATACTCACCAATTCAAAACCATTTAAAACAGAACCTGGCAAACCATTAGGCTAATATAATTTATTCCCTATTAAGTACAGGTTTGATGCCATCTACATATGTGTGTTCTTCTGATTAAAAGCAAAGAAATTCTTCTGCCTGTATATTCTGGACAAGGATTTAGTTCTAAACATAAAAGCTGGAAGTTCTTCCACAACACTAGCTTGCAAAGCACAAAACTCAGAAATAATAGCCCTTATCTCTGCCTCCCCCTGGGTTTTAATGCCAGGGGCTCCCCAACACTCACCCACTCCCTGCCCCACACACTGGTGTGGCACTGATGTCCCCCATGTCTATGGGAGAACATATCCCAAGGACGGTGTTTATTGAGGAAGAACACGTCCTTATTTAATTATCTCAGCGTTCCTCTCCATGCTAAAACTCAAAATAAATTCATCCTTTATTTAAGATAATTATAATTATCTAAACAAGCTTACTTAAATTTCATGGTGTTAGCATGCCACTGCCAGAAACAGATTGTTCCATCAGCACCAGTAGAAGTGAGGTATCGTGTTGTTCCTTTCCTTGCAGGAGAGAACTAAAAATAAAGTTGTAACAGTTAAAACCAGCTAATTTCTTTCTCCCCCTACATGCTGGAAACTTGTAAATAGACATTGACAAGAATTTTTTTCACAAACATATCAGCTTCTTCCTTGGGAGTACAAAGAGTAGTATCAGGGATAAGCACAGAAACTGAACTTCCATAAAAATAAAGCTGAGGAATGGAAAATACTGACATTTTGACCAGCAAGTCTTTGTTCCTGCCACACAAAACTAACAAATTGGAAAAATGAAACAAGCCTAGACTCTCTTAATGGGATGAGAAGATGAGGAAATTCTTATTTCTAGGACAGAACTGGATCAAACACAGTAATAAAATTAAAAATGATTCCTGAATCCAAGCCCAACGAAGAACAGCAGCACAGTAGGACCCCCCCACCTCTTCCTGAACCTCTCCTCCGCCTCCCTAAGGAGTGGGAAAGCTTTTCATCCTGAAGCCTCTCACTTTACTTCCATAACTGCAGCAATACCTTTCATCCTCTGGCTACCTGGTATTTGATACAGAGATTGAGCACTGGTTCCTGAAAAAATCATGACTGATTTTTTATTTCTTTTATAAATTACTGGAATTTACAAAAACCTTGTGAGGGATGTATATAAACATAAAGAAATAATACACAAAACCAGGTTACAAACTATGTTACCCTGAAGTAAATAATTTGTGGCACAGTTAAAATCAGACAAAATTGGAAGTGTAGGCATGAGGGGGGGAAATAAGACTCCTGGAGACTACTGGTCTGTTGGAGAAGACTGTGATGAATCAAGGCTCCAGAAGAGAGGGATTCTGAGCCAGACATCCCTGCTCCTTCCCCCCCCTCTGTGTGCATAACCTGCCAAATTGCAGGGATTGTCTTTTTTATCCTGGAATTTTGTTTTGTTGGAGGTTTCTGCCTGGCAGTTGTGGGGTTTTTTTAAAACAAATAAACTGCAAATTGCTAACCATTATTGACTTTGCTGCCACCAGAGCCTTTTTTTTTTCCCCTGCTCCACTCTTGCTCACTGGGCACTTGTCACACGACTAAAACTGCACAGACACAAGCACAGATTCCCTGCAAACCCTGATCTGTGCTGTACCATGGCTGCTGCAGTGTCTATGTACCCTACAAAATCCAAATCAGCTCCTTATGGTACAGGGTAAGATAACGAGCAAATCCCAGAGTCCCAGAATTGCCTGGACTGGAAAAGCCCTTTAAGCTTATTGAGTCCAATCATGAACCCAACACTGACCAGTCCCCTATGACTAACCCATGTCCCTCAGCACTGTGTCTACACGACTCTTCAATCCCTCCAGGGATGGGGACTCCACCACTGCCCTGGGCAACCCCTTCCAATAGCTGATCAATAAGAGATGTGGAATAAGAATTTTAAGCTGACAGTATTCCTCTGAAAAATAAATGTCCACCACTGCCCTGGGCAACCCCTTCCAACAGCTGATCAATAAGAGATGTGGAGTAAGAATTTTTAGCTTTCTCTATGAAGAAATGCCTGTTGGATCAGTCACTGTGCAAGGACTGCCACCAAAGATGCCAGCCATGTCTCCCTGGCTCAGCTAGTTGATCTGATCATCTCAGTGACCGTGTCTTTCCTTTATCTAAGGAAGGAGGAGCAATGGGACCACAGAGTTAAAGCAGCTGGAAGAAGGAGAATCATCCCCTCAGGTAGCTGGCCACTGCGCAGGCGTGAGCTTGCTGGGAAATAACACCCTTGAGTTCTTCTGGAACATAAGGAAGAACTTCTTTACTGTGAGGGTGATTGAGCACTGGAACAGGCTGCCCAGAGAGGTTGTGGAATGTCCATTTCCTGGAGATATTAAAAAACTGTCTGGACAAAATCCTGGTTCATGTGCTCTAGGAGTCCCTGCTTGAGCAGAGGTGTTGGACTAGATGTGACCTTCAGAGATCCCTTCCAACCTCAACCATTCTGTGATTCTGAGTTGGGGCAAATCTACACTCCTAGAGATGAAAAGATAAGTTTTATCCCTGATTTCTAATCCACATCTCTTATTACTGTTTTAATGAGGCTTTGAGCAACCTGGTCTAGTGGAAGGTGTCCCTGCTGATGGCAGGGGGGTTGGAACTGGATGAGCTTTGAGGTCCCTTCCAACCCAAACCATTCTATGATTCTATGATTCTATGAATTCAAGGGTTTAGGAAAAAAAAAAAAGTCATTCCTTACCTGTATGGAAGTAATGGAAGCTGAATGGCCCTGCAGCACTGCGACTGGGGCACAGGTTCGAAGACACCACACTCGAACTACTTTATCACAGCTGCCTGCAGCAAGCAGCGTGTTCTCGTAGTTAACAGCCATGTCAGAGATTTCAGCCGAGTGTCCTCGCAACGTGGAGAGCAGGCGCCCATCATCTGTAGCCCAGATTTTGACCAAACAATCATCTGACCCCTAATGCCACACAAAAATTTCCAAAGATTATATAAAATCATGTTATGGATACATCATCTATAGGTACACAGCAGATGAACAAGTATCTGAAACACCACTGGGCCATGAACCTGCTGGAAGAGTGACTTCAGTGGGATTGCACAGAGGCACAACTACCCGAGCTTGGGGATCATCTTGTGGGGTGAAGGATTTAGATATTTATAAAACAGAAGCCACTGTCTCATGTTTCACGCTAAGATATGATTAACTGCTGCTAATCTAACTCCTCTCAATACAGTTCAATAGTAATTAAGGTAAATTTAAGAAGATAAAATGTTTTATTACATCCTATGAACAGTCACATTTATCTGCGTGAGCCAGATCAAAACAATAGTAAAATCAAAGTGATCATAAGACTCGAGCTCTAAGAAGAGCACTGAAGCATCTGAGGGATCTGAGAGCCTCTGCCAGGCTCCTGGAGCTGTAAGGCAGCAGTTGTACCATGAGGTTCAATTTTTGTCCACAGAAGAAAAGCTGGACCACTCAAAGAGAGAAACCACACAACATCAAGTCCAACTGAAGTACCAGATCAGTGAGATTTCAGTTCAGGACAAGACACAAATCAAGAGCATATCCAACACAGATCATTGCAAAATACCTTTACTTACAGTGGCAGCTACATCACTTTATACTTAATCCCAATATTGCCAAGAATTTGTAGGCAGTTCACACCTTTCCACTACTCAGATACTACCAAGAGTAGCAATACTAGAGGTTGGGATTGCCACTGTATATTCAGAAACATAACACAACAAAACAAACTGCAATATCAACAACATTTTACTTTAAATTATGTTTTATTAACTGCAGCTAAACTCAAAACAGGAATCACTTTTGATTCTTCATAAAACTGCAGATGAGAAAAAATTCTTTATGGTGTAAAATGGAATTACTATGACCCAGAGTAATTATCTTAACATCTCTATGTGACCAAATTAGAATGAGTGGAGAAGGCAGCAAGAACACAAAGACAACAATTAGCCTGCTGGGTAATCTGTTTCTAAACACCTCTTGATAAGAGACAAGAGCAAAAACAAGACAGGGATTAACATTAACAGTTAAAAGATGCATTATTAACTTTTAAAAATCTGCTAATCTTTAAATATGCACAAAAAGCCAAGGGTAGTATCACAGAAATGTATGTTAAAATATTCTGGAGAATGACTTAAAATAATATTCATATATTCACTGCCATACTACAAATTCTAGAAAGAAAAGTTAGTAGAGAAGTCAATTGCAGATGAAGTAACAAAGTCTTCTATTTATCCACAAGTTTTTACTGAAATGTCAGGAAAGGATTGCCAGCATTTCCAAGGTCACCAAAAGGTAAAACATAGCTTTAAAAAAAAGTGTTAAAATTTAACCCAGCAAGTAGCATGCAAATTAATTCCAAGTTGCAGAATACTGTCGATCCCATTCATCAAGAAAGATTATAAATAAAATTCATTTTTTAAAAATGAGCATGTATTTCAGGTGAGAGTTGCAAGCTCTGGACCAGAACAACCCCACTGTTAAGGTTCTACATGGGGAAGCAAATAACTGACCAAGTCTCAGTCTACCAAAGCTGTGAGCAATTTTAAAACACCAAATCAAGTGAAAAGTGACCATTAGCATAGAAAGAGATGAGTTTTCCAAACATTTCAAGATTTTTCTTCCTTTCTTTTTCTGGAAGTCATGTCTGCATCTCAATCAGTAACTATGAGGCTGCTGAGGGACTCAAGAAAGAAAGAAATCAAACCACACAGAGCAATCTTCCCAGAAAATTCCAATTTTTAAACTTACTGTAAATATCCTCCTCCCGCTGCGATCAAAGGCTATACAATAAACAGACGAGAGATGCCCCAAAATCCTCTTATGCATCTTCATGTGTTGGTAGGTGGATGTTGGGAACAAGTGGCTGAAACGTCCACATCCAGTTAATTGCCTGGCAGAAATTATATTTACTGGGAGAGAAAAAACAAAACAAAAAGAAAATTAAAGCATAAATTTTGTCCAGAACTCAAAGGAACTAAATATTTAATCAAATATAATATTTGGTAACAGCTTTATTATTATAATTGTTATAAATCTGAACCTCTTCCACCTTATCAGAACATTCTGTACAGTCTTGTAAAAAAAGACAGCCCACTCCTGATGAAGCCTTTCAATACCCACCACACCACACACTGCAATTACTTTCTTAATTCAAAAATTAAAGCAAAATAAAGAGTTCCCATCACAACTAGAAGCTATTTGAAGCGTTCAATTCACAAACAGGAAACAGATATATTTATTCTATATGGATTTGGGAAACTTCATCTTAGTAACATATCATTTCCTTAAAAGAATTACAACAACTTTATTTTTGGAGCATAATAATAGTTTATTTTAAGTGCTTTTTTTGTGATAAAAATCTTTCTTTGGAATAAGTTCCAGTTTGTGTGTCACAGTCAATGGTCTTCCACATTTTCCCCATGAAACCTCTCTCATTATAAGCAGCAGCAGCAGCAGCATCATTGCTTTTCTATGGCAATGTAATTAAAGAACAAGAAATATGTGGGACTGATGGAAAAGAATGGCAGAAGCAAGAAAAAACTGCAATGACACGAAGTTATTTCATATCTAACAGTCCTCACAAGAACAGCCTGAAATCTAAATGCACAAAACCATCACGTTAGCGGTTTCATGGGCAGTTAATGACAGAACAAGGGGAAATGGGTTTAAGCTGAAGGAGGGGAGGTTTAGATGAGATATTAGGAAGAAGTTCTTCACTGTGAGGGTGGTCAGACACTGGAACAGGTTGCCCAGAGAAGCTGTGGCTGCTCCTCCCTGGAAGTGTTGAAGGCCAGGCTGGATGAGGCTTTGAGCAACCTGGTCTAGTGGAAGGTGTCCCTGCTGCTGGCAGGGGGGTTGGAACTGGATGAGCTTTAAGGTCCCTTCCAATCCAAACCAGTCTGGGGTTCTGTGATTCTATGATTCATCACCAATAACCACAAATCAACAAGGATGTGTGTGCCTCTGCTGGGACACACCACCAAATAAAGATCATTACGGCAGTAAAACACAGCTCCTAATTCGAATCTTCGATCTGATGCATCATTTGAGATCATCTTGGGTATTGAATTTTACCTATCCTGATTTATACCACTTGAACTTTTGATTTTTTGAAGTTTTGAGAGTTTTTTCTCAATGGAACTTCAAGATCTAACAGTGCAATACTGGTGGTTTTGTCGAGTCCTTGCGAAGCTCTTCAGCACCTTTCAATCCTTTAGTTCAAAAGTCTAGTGAACAACTTGACCCATTTTCTTCATTGTATCATCATATTGCCTATCTAGACAAAATCACTTTAGGGAAAATGTTTAAAAAAATAAATAATAAATTTACAAAGTCAAGAAGCATCATTTCAAAAGGTTACTAACCCACTAGACACTTCTGTAAATTTATAAGATTGAAGTTTTTGGACATAAGCAGAGAGATAAATGGGCAAGGAAAATAAATTGTTTCCAGATTTACAGAAAGTCTTTTTGTTTCTCAAGTTTTATGCTCTGAAATTTGGACTATTTTTAATCACTACATACAACAAGAACAAAAAAAAAAGTCATCTAAAAGGTGTAGCTGCTTGCAGAAGTCAGGCTCCCAGTGCGACCTCACCTTCAGTCAATATTTGTTTTGCATGTAAAAACAGATATTCAGCACTACTAAAAAAGCAAAACACACTAAACCAAATTAATTTCCTATCCAGCTACTATTCAATCGATACCTGATATTATACAGGAACTGTGAAATGAAACTGTCTCCCCTAGCAAAGTCAAAAGGAAATCTTTAACCCTTTTTCTCCAGCTCTTCCAGGAGGGCACAGAGATCCCGCAGCAATCAATGCTGTGCATTTTATTTACTATTGAAGTGTGCCAGCTTAAAAGCTAAATTCTTCAAAATCCTACACCTCCCTTTCCCCTACACTGTGGACACTGTTGTGCCAACACAGAGATGGAGTAATTTCAGTGCCTTTCAGTGCTTAAATCATTTAAATACATAATAATAGTATATCTGCCTTTAAACAATTTCAAATGGCTGTGAATGCTTTTTTTTAAACCCACTAAGAACTGCGTGAATCAAAAAAAGGTACATTTGAGTTTCAAAATACTCCAAATATCTCCTGTGTACAACAGTTCCCAGGCAATTCTGAGGATGTACCACCACTGTTTGTTGTAAATCACCAAAAGGTAGAATGAAGAGTCGGGCACTAACTCGCACAGCCTTCCATTTGCCATTTGGCATCTAACTTTTCCGGTTGATTCCCAGCCTTGTAATCAGTTCAGCTTCAGAGGATGGGAAAGTCATTTCATTTTTTTTTTTTTTTATTTTAATGTCTATTTCCCTAGATTTGCACAATGAGAACGAGATTTCTCAATCTCCCATGGATAATTAAAAAATAAAAAGCACTGCTTTATGAAATGCTTCAATCACGAGTTTCGGTGAAATACAGAAGTGTTATTGTGCCATGAGGAGTATTATCCTTAGCAAAGCCACAGCATCGGGGAATAAAAAGTAGCAAATATTCAATGTATCTGATCCTCACTAGAAAAATGCTCTAAATAAATATAATTTATAAAAAATTGTTTCATTTATAAAAATGTTTTGTATACCACAAACATACGCCACGCACACAAAGCTGTGGGTGAGTGATTTGTCTTCCCACACTTTATATAAACTATCACTGTCTTCAAATGTCCTGGGTTTTAGCTGAAATAGGTTTTTCTTTTTAGTAATTAGAAGAGTGATATTTTGGGTAAAGTAAACCCACCTCACACAAAACAAAACAAAACATCCACAACTCTAGTGCTCATATTTTTTGGTAGATGATTAATACACAATATCTAAATAGGGAATTATACACACACACATATGACAAAAAGCCCCGTGAAGTTTGCTCTCTTCAGTACAGTTAAATTATTGTACTCATAAAGCTTAAAAGTATTAAAAAACACCCAATTCTCACCCAGAGAATTACAATATAGTAGCCCTACAAAACTCTTAGCAACCTGTCTAATTAGCTTCATGTCACACTGGGCATAACCACTGCCAAGTCTACCCCCTCGCTATTTCCTGCCAGGAAAAAAATCTTTCAAACCTGTGTTGATGTTATTTCACATCAAAATTGAGCAAATACAGACTTCTTGCTAGGAAAAGTAAGTTAGTTTTGCCTACAAATGGAAAGGCCTTCTTCTCAGGTGAAGTTCTTCACTTCTAGCTGCTGAAACGTGGTACCTGGGTGCAGAGGTGCCACTGGTGCTGCAGTGAGAGGTGGGATTTCTCCCTCTTCACCTGTGCTGGGAGCAACCTGCTGCCACCTCAGCACCAGCTCCTGGCATGGTGGGCAAAGCCCTGGCTTACAGATCATCCAGTGTTGTGAGCTGGAAGGAACCCACAAAGATGATGGAGTCCAACTGCTGTCCCTGCACAGGACAATCCCAACATTCACACCATGTCCCTGAGGGCCTTGGCCAAATGCTGCTGGAATCTTGTCAGGCTTGGTGCCATGAGCACCTCCCTGGGGAGCCTGTTCCAGTGCTCCACCACCCTCTGCCTCAAGAACCTTTTCCTCATGGCCAACCTCACCCTCCCCTGCCACATCTTCCTGCCATTCCCTCTGCTCCTGCCATTTGTTGGTGGCCAGAGAGAAGAGGTCAGCACCTGTCCCTCCTCTGCCCCTTGGGAGGAAGTTCTAGACCCCCAGGAGATCTCCTCTCAGTCTCCTCTTCTCCAGGCTGAACAACCCAAGTGACTTCAGAAAAAGAAAAAAATGAAAAAGAGAAAAAAAAGAAAAAAAATGAAAAAGAGAAAAAGAGAAAAAAAAAGAAAAAATGAAAAAGAGAAAAAAGAGAAAAAAATGAAAAAAGAGAAAAAAAGAAAAACGAAAAAGAGAAAAAAGAGAAAAAAGAAAAAGGAGAAAAAAGAAAAAGGAGAAAAAAGAAAAAAGAGAAAAAAGAAAAAAGAGAAAAAAGAAAAAAGAGAAAAAAGAAAAAAGAGAAAAAAGAAAAAAGAGGAAAAAAAGAGAAAAAAATCACAAATTTCAAAGTTAAGTCACAGCTTCAGAAGGAATTAAAACATTTCAGTGTGGACAAAGTCACCTTATCTGCAGCAGTTTCCAAACTACCTGAATTCTTTCCTCTCCCTACAAACCCTCGCTTCACCCCATTAGTTGCAAGCAAAAATAGAGACCAGAATACTGGTACAAACCTTCATTTTAAAAACAGTTTCTCTAGCTTTAAGGGTGATGACTTCACATCATCCTACTTTACCTTTTGAGATCAGCACTATAACTTGGTAATGAGGACACAGCATTTTCCACAGCCAGGGTGTGTGGTGAGTAAGCTGTGACCTCATCGCGGGGCTGGACGAAGCGTGAAGACTGGCTACCACTCGCGGCGTGCAGAAGAAACACGAGAAACAGTGTTCACAAGAACACTGGGAAATAAACACAGTTGGCTCACACACGCAAAATACCTTCTCAGAGAGTGGATGTGTAGCCACAGAGACAGTCAGACCCAGTAAAAGCACCAAAGAGAACAAAGTGTTCCAGCTTTCATAGCTGCTGACCTCACACAACTCCTCCACAGCAGAGAAACATTGATTTTCTGACCTCATTGGAGCTCTGCTGTTTGGCAGACCTAAGGTAGCTGGATCACCTTGACTGTAAATTTCCATACAGCAGGACTGCTTGTTCATTGAGACTATGCTGTGAACCTTCTAGCTCCAAATCTTGTGGTACTTTCCCTAACAACAGTCACTCACATGAAGATTTTCAGCCTCGGGTTAAAATAGCTCCAGTAACCAAATTAAAGAGGGAAAACAATCTTCTTTCTAACCTGTTTTGTGTTGCCTGCAAAAATAAAAAGTCTCTGATAGAACCCACAAAACCAGGTTTGTGAAGAACTCCCATTGCTGAGGTGCCATATGACCCATCTTTCAACCTTCTGACTGGAAGAGCACAAAGTGGATCCTAAACACACCACTACCCCAAAACCTGCACAGAAAGCAGCTAAAAGACCATCCTCACCATATTCCCCGTGTTATCCTGTAAGCAGTGCTGACAGCACCTTCCCTTCTTCACCCCCAGCAGATCACCACAGACCTTCAAGACTCAACACACAAACACCACGTTCTTGAGAAGAACAACTTCCACAGATCAGCACTTTCTCAGAGACTCCCCCAGCCAGAAGATTCCCAGCTCTGCACAAACACGCTGGGAAAAGGCAACACTGATTTCTTACTCCAGTTCTGCTCTCTGTGACCTCTTAATTTGGAGTAAAGATCACAAGGTGCCATCCCAACCCCATCCAGATGGAAAGGGAAACTACTGCAGCTACCAAGAATCACAAGCAATCCCATCACAACAGAAAAAACACACTTATAGGTGGCAACCTTCAACCTCTGTCACTGGAAAGGAAATTATGTCAGAACACTTTTAGCTGCTAGTTCACAGAATCACAGAATGTCAGGGATTGGAAGGAACCTCGAAAGATCATCCAGTCCAATCCCCCTGCCAGAGCAGGAACCTCAATGAGATCACACAGGAAGGTGTCCAGGCGGGTTTTGAATGTCTCCAGAGAAGGAGACTCCACACCCTCCCTGGGCAGCCTGTCCCAGGGCTCTGGCACCCTCACTGTGAAGAAGTTTCTTCTCAAGTTGAAGCAGAACCTCCTGTGTTCCAGCTCACACCCATTGCCCCTTGTCCTACCATTGGGCATCACTGAGAAGAGCCTGGCTCCATCCTCCTGACATTCACCCTTTACATATTTATAAACATTAATGAGGTCTCCCCTCAGTCTCCTCTTCTCCAAGCTAAAGAGCCCCAGCTCCCTCAGCCTTTCCTCAGCAGGGAGATGCTCCACTCCCTTCATCATCTTGGTGGCTCTGTGCTGGACTCTCTCCAGCAGTTCTCTGTCCTACACCTTTTCTACACCTAGTTCTACACCTTTTTTACCTGTCTACACAAGCAATCAAACAATAATTTCACCTCATGAACACACGTTATTATGGGTGTCTATTATTACTTCAGCCTGACTACTTCAGCAAGTCATTCCAGAAAACACAACCTGACCAAGCCAGCACAGTATGGAAATTCACAATTACACCCAGATATTAAAGAGGTTGGGCACACTTCTTCATCTTCTGTTTTAAACCAAGACACACACACACACTGCTGTATCTGTGGCTGGCACTGCTCACCAGAAAACACACCCATTTGGTACAAATAGAAGAATTCCGTGACTTCCACTTCAGGATGAACAAGAGGGAATCCCAAAACCAAACTCCTGCCTCCTGTACAGCTTAAGTGTAGTCAACTTCTTATTTTAATCTTTACACACATTTTCTTATCTTACTAGTAGTTTATGTACCTACATCAAAGAGGATCATATTGTTCCAGGAACCAATACTTATAAAAATTAATTCTGGGCTATAAAGACCCTTTTCCATGTAACATCTTTGTATTTCTTAAAAAACAATTCACAGGAAAACACCAAAACTAACAGAATCACACAGAATCCCAGACTGGTTTGGGCTGGAAGAGACCTTAAAGCTCATCCAGTTCCAACCCCCCTGCCAGCAGCAGGGACACCTTCCACTAGACCAGGTTGCTCAAAGCCTCATCCAACCTGGCCGAGAACACTTCCAGGGAGGAGCAGCCACAACTTCCTTGGGCAACCTGTTCCAGTGTCTCACCACCCTCACAGTGAAGAACTTCTCCCTAATATCTCATCTAAACCTCCCCTCTTTCAGCTTAAACCCATTTCCCCTTGTTTTGTTATTAACTGCCCTTATGAAAAGTCCTTCCCCAGCTTTCTTGTAGGCCCCCTAACAAATCATTCTGTTCTCTAAATCACTAAATAGCCACCAAGCAAACAGCACAGACCTTTGTCATAAAAGCATGACACATGCAGAGGTCCAATCTGCTAGTATCATTCATTAATAATACTGCATATTCCCAAAACACATGGTCTGATTCTCCTCTTATGAAATAACTGATCCAGGAGGCCTTTTAGAAATACAACTGGAGAAGCTGGATGTGTGCAATAAATTTGTAATCAAGCCTATTAGTGATCCATCAGCTCAACTGCTAATAAAAACTGCAGAACCAGCCTCAAAGAATAAATACACAGTTATATACATAAGTAACCATACTAATATATGGAAATAGTTTTCTTTTTTAATGTCCACAGGATGACTCATAAATTATCTGACAAAAGCAGTACTAACGCAAAAGTTCCCTGTGCATTAAGTCCAGGCAAATATCAATTTCTTTTTTATCCAGAAGACCCATAATTAACTTTGCCATTCCCCCAAATTGCTGCCACAACACCACCACAGACCTGATGCAAAGCACGCTATCGATTTCAACCACAAACAGCCCAGGCACTGTCACTTTCCTGTCTGACAAAGATTAATTTTTAGTGGGAGAGAGAAAGTGCTAAAGCACAAAAGAGAGGAACAGATATGGCAGCAAGAGAAGATTGACATCATCCTCCTTCCATCTCCAAAGGGATGGGAAAAACCTACGTGAACACATCTAACAAAGCAGGAAAAGTCTGTACATTTGCACAAACACACATTAATGCAGATAAAATACCCTCATAAGAAACAAATCACGACTGACAGGACTTTTATGCCTGTAAGAATCCAATTTGTTTGCTGTTAAAATAGTTAATGAAAGGTCAGACCATATAAGAAAAATACTTTTCAGTTTAAGCAAAACAGAGAAGTTCTTTGCTGCTGTGTAAGCTGAATGCCCACATATATCTGAGTTCTACACAAGTTCTTTATCTGACTGTGTGGACAACTGAAATAACACAAATGTTGGTTTGGTGATGAGTTCCTTTTTGGAAAGGGATGTTGTAAGCAGTCTGTTTTCTGTCATAATCGAACTAAAATGAATTTTTGAGTCAAAAAAAACGTTCCTTAGAAGCCAAGTGCTTTGTTCTGGCTGAGATTCCTGAATGAAAAGATGATCTACGTGCTCCTGTGATCATGCCTGTTCAATCTTACAAGCATACGTACATATTATGTAGGTGTATCATAAAAAAACACTCAAGCACGTTGCCCTCCAAACAGAAAGTTAACCTGCAAAGCTTTTCAACGTGGCCACAATGTTTTAACATATGTACACACGTTATGGAAGATCCAAGCCTGAATAATACAAGAAAAAGTTATTCTGTTCTCAGTGAGAAACCTTTTTTTAGACTAATTCATAGTGATATGTCAAAAAAAAAAAAAGCCATTAATGCAAACCTGTGGTAGAGTTTCAGTCAGTACAAGTAACTTCCAGCTGGAACAGGAATTAAAATATAGAAAAGAAAAAAAAAAACACCTTATGTATGTTTCAAAACTCACCCACGTTTGGTGGTTTCCCGTAATTTACAGGCAGTTCGGGCGGGCGGCCTCTGTGAAGAGCTGCAAACGCAGATCCTTTCCATAGCGTGTGTCTGAAGTCTGCATCAGCAAGATGAACAGTGGGTTAGTGGAACAATCAGCCAAACCAGGTCCAACTGACCTCTTCTTCTTAGAATCAAGAGCATCAAGGACCACTCCCAGCATCCCTACATAAGATTTCCCTTTTTCAATAGTCTGTCAGCAATCTAACACTGCAAGAAGATTGCTACTCTGATTTTTAGTTCCTAAGCAATGTGACTTTAAACAGTTACAACTTATTTTTGCTTTATTTTGGTGAGCAAGGAGTATAAATTAATGGAAAGAAAGAGAGAATTAAAAAGTGGGAGCACTCTGTATTGAGGAAGGACTGAATTTTGGTCTGTTTTCAGTCCTTCTGCAACCCCAACACATACAGGACCTCTTCTGATGAGCTAAAAGTTTGAGAACACACACACACACACACACACACACACATTTGCTCCCTGAAAGTGGGAGAAGTGAGATTGATTATTTTTTCAAATAAATCTGTTTTCCTGCAATTGGTGGCAATATGCCTTCCTTTCAGATTCTCCTCTGCACCCCACCTCCCCAAAAAAACACTGTTTTTCATACGAAGACTGTTTTCTTTAAAGACTCTCCAGCTATCTGCAGCCAACTGGCTCCACAGAGCTTTCTCTCTAGAACAATAGTGATTTTATTTGAGACTGTTCAGAAATTAGACCTGGACTTCTTCCATTTCTGGCCATCTGGAAGGAGAGAAATGAGCTTCCACGGTGAATAAGGACTGAAACAGAAGGATAGTGCCACAGATTGGTGGGTTTGTGTATCACCATTTACATCTCTGACTATGAAGTGCAGAAGTTTATGTGACTCAAAGAGACACCCGAGAACTGATTTTTCTGATTAAAACCCAAACTGTACCACGGAGTATTACAAAGGTACAACTTCAAAACAGCACTCACACTTTCTAAAATAGCTCAAAATAGCTATAAACACCAATGGTAAATGGAAACTGCCTGCTGACACACAACTAGGGGGGAATGGAAATCCATGTGTGTCAACTTTGAAAGAGGTAGGCTGTTTCCTACTAGGGAGTGTGGTTTACATACCAAATGGCACAATGTCACAGAGCCTGTTTCTGAAAGGGGAAAAAACCCACAAAAATCTAGTAGGAATTTATTTGCAATAAATTTATCACACAGCTTAGGAAGCACTACGTTTTTCAGTGATTCATCCAGCCTCTGTCCCCTAATTTACCTAAGAAACCTCTGTTTCCCTGCACAAAAATAATTATTTTCACTTTCTATTTTCTTGCTGTTTTCTTCTAAGATGCAAACTGAATGTGAAATGAAGGAATCTTAGAATGGTTTGGGTTGGAAGGGACCTTAAAGCTCATCCAGTTCCAACCCCCCTGCCAGCAGCAGGGACACCTTCCACTAGACCAGGTTGCCCAAAGCCTCATCCAACCTGGCTTTGAAAACTTCTGCAGGTTGCCTTGCAAAGCTGAAATCCTCCACCCAACTATGACAAAGCTCAGGCAAAACAAAACTCAAGTCTCAAAACTTGACAGCAGGTCCCTCCAAGTGCTATCCAGTGCATCAGCAGAATGCCACTGTCCTTGTCAGAATCACAGTGTTACTTCACAGGATGTGGTAAATTAAGTGCTCAACTGCCAAGGAAACAGGAAGGTCCTGCTCTCCCATCCCTCCTCCTCTCCTGCTGCCTGTGTCACCTCCAGCACTCTGATCCTCCCCTGAGCTAATTTAATACACTACAACAGCAATAACAAATTGGGTAACATTTTAGCTCTCTGAATCAGCACATCACAGGATCAAATAAGTTTTGGTTCCTACAGGGAAGAGGTAACAGGGGCATGGAGTGAGTAGGGAAGGGAGGAACCACTCTCTTCAATAGCAGATGGCTCTCAGATCTGTTCAGTTGTAACAAAAACCGTGCTCTCAGGATCATTATCTCAAGCAGAGCAGTTTTTCAAAAGGACTAGGACTGGTGTTCTATTCATAAAAGGAATGGGAGCTTTCCTTCAAATTAACACTAAGCAAGTTCAAGCAGGAATTATCACTGAAGAATCACTCTCATCTCCTCCCACCCTCTAAACGTTGCCCCAAATGCCACCCTGCCCTTCAAGCTGACACATCTGCCTGCACGGCCAGGGAATTAAATAATGGAACAAATCAGCCTGAAAAATAGCCCAGCAAAATATATAGACTGCCTGGGTTATTTTAGACACAGGTATGTGTAAATGAAAAAAAAAAAACAACAACCAAAAGTCTCTATTTCAGATGGATCAAATCTCTCATCCAGTTCATCACATCGTTTACACAAACACCAGCCCAACATGCTGAGAAGTGAAGGGAGAGGAAGCAAGTAACAAGATCAGGCAACTGCAGGCAAAAGCTGTTTAAAATGGCATTTCAACCAAAGAAAAATACATGTAACAGGGCCAGCAATAACTGCAACAAGAAAGCAGGAGCTGACAAGCACAGCAAACAAACCAGGGGTCAGGCAAACACACAGATACCACCATATGAACTGAAACAAAAGGGCTTTTGAGCATCAAAATAAAATTCAATCACATATAAATTGAGAATCTTACCTTTTGCTGCCCTTAATAGAGACTGGCGCCCGACACCCAGCAAAGTCTGCACACCTAGGACACTCTGTGGGATTTCCTTGTCTAAAAGGGGTCCAAGTCTCTCACAGATCCTAAGAAGATAATCCGGAGGGATGTGTGCATTGACAGCCACCTAAACACATAAACAACACAGATGTTTGAAAGTTGACTTTCATTCTCGCTTCTACTGGTATTGCTTTGCTTGATTCATATTCAAGTATTAAAGTTAAATAAAGTTATTGAAATCAAGTGGAAAAAAACCCCTGAAAAAACCCCAAAATTAATGATACCAAAGATGTCTTTTGAAGTGACACGGTGTGTTGAAAAAGTCAGACCAGAAATTCCAGGTGGTGGTAATTGAGGATGTCCCTTAATCACAAACAAAAATACCTGAGACTCCAGAGTTCCCAGTGCAATCTGATCAAACAAAATTTTGCCTGGGGACTTGGTTTAAGTCTTTTTTTACCTTTCAGTTCATTCTTTTCACATACACTATTTCTTGCTTAGCTGAAACACCCCTGCCAGCTCCTCCCGTAAGAAACACGTGTGCTAAAGCCTAAAAACCCAAAATATTCTCCTAAAAGCAAGAGCCAGTCTCCAGTTTCCAGCAACTGGGAGTAGGTATCTTTAAGATCCACAAGTGTAGGCTCCTAATTTGTCATGTTGAGAAAACATTCTTCTTTTTCCCCTTTAGACAGAGACTGTTTTCTATGGGGAGACAATAGTTTTTCCAACAATCTCTTCAAATAACAAAAAAAATTGTGCCTCATTATCCAGAAAGTCCTGAGCTTGCCTGACTTCTACTGTATTTACCAGCTGGCAGCAAAAGCTCATCATCAGAGCTTATTTAGCTCCTTCAACACGGGACATAGAGCCACATTCATCTGCTTTTCCAAGATCAACACTAACCAGTCACTCAACTCTTATGTATTTGTGATTGAAAACTGAAAAAAAAAATCATTGTATTAGAACTATTTACAACTTTTGTATCTGCTGCAATATTGTGAAGAAAGAGATTGTCATAAACCAGGTTTTTTTTGTTTTACCAAGCCACAAACTTGTGCCAAATAACACTAAAGCTGACCTGAAAGGGCTAAAACAGAGCTCGTTGTAAAGAAATAATAGCAGGCATGTGCCTGCCCACACCCCTCTGTCCTCCATGACCACTTCAAATGTGTCCAGTCACAGGCCAATCCCAGTAACAGGGCTGTGGGCGCTCGCCACCCATCCAGTTCCCTCCTGGCAGGGCAGGACAAGTTTTTGTGCAGCTGCAGTGAGCCAGAACAATTCCCCAGTGTAGCTAAAACCATGACCAAGCTCCTCTCTGCATCAGCTCGGGTGCTCATCTACTGCGGAGGAAGCGGTTTCAGCTCCCCTGGCTTTTGTCACCCAATAAAAGGAGGAGAAGGTGTTGTGCCAGGTTTAGCAAAGCTGAGTGTGATCCAGAGAATCAGAGCTGGTGGAAAGCAAGGAACAGGATCACCTCGTTCAACAGAAGAGTATCACCAGCTAGGGCCAGCTATCCTGCTCACCAAGGGTATGCCCAGCTCCTGCCCCAGCACACCAGAGGGAGCGGCACACATCGGGAAGGAGGAAAAGGTAAGTAAGCACGGCGCTCAGAACTGCTGCCAAAACATTGTTCACTCAACTATGTCATCAAACAGAGGATTACTACATGTCACTGGGAAACAGCTCGTTCCAACTGGGCAACAGCAGCAGAGCTACGGGGCTCAAGGCAGTGAGTCATGTCTTGGGTAATGTAATCACCTGCAGCAAAGGCAGCATCAACACCATCCCACTAACAACATTTTTAACCAAAAAGAACCCAAAGGTTTGTGTTTTGGTTTTTTTTTTTCTAAGGACACACACTAATTATCATTTAACTAAACCCAACCAAAACTCTCCCAATCTTCTTAGAGAAGAGAGATGGGCTTCTCCACACACCCTCTCAGTCACCGTGTGTTAAAGATACGGCTCTGGCCTTCTGATGGAAACAGAAGAATCAGAGAATTGTTCTGGTTGGAAAAGACCTTTCAGATCATCGAGTCCAACCATAAACCCAACAATGGCAAGTCCACCTCTAACCCATGTCCCTGAGCACCTCGTCTGCCCATCTTTTAAATCCCACCAGGGAAGGTGACTCCACCACCTCCCTGGGCAGCCTGTTCCAATGCTTGACCACCCTTTGGGTGAAGAAGTTTTTCCTCGGATCCAATCTAAACCTCCCTGGGCACAACTTGAGGCCATTTCCTCTTGTCCTGTCCCTTGGTCCTTGGTTGAACAGACCCACCCCCACCTCTCTCCACCCTCCTTTCAGGGACCTGGACAGAGTGAGAAGGTTTCCCCTCAGTCTCCTTTTCTCCATGCTACCTAAGATACCTCAGAGGATGGTGTCTCCACCACTGCGCTGGGCAGCCTGTTCCAACATTTGACAACCCTTTTGGTCATAACTCTGCAGGGAAGATAAACCTGATGACTGCACCTGATGATCACATTAACATGGTCCCATTCCATGCCTTTTCACATGGCAAGCCTCCAGGAATGGCTCCATGAATGCTCTCTTGCACTGACCGCTCAGAGTCCCAGTACCTTCCCAACCACCCAGCCAGTGAAGTTCAGTGTACAAGCAGGAATTGTCTTTCCTTGTAAGTTACATGATAAATTACTGTATCTCACAGTCAAAATGAGATAAAAGGATTGTCTGAACTTCTGTATTTACCTACAGTTCTGACTCAAGGCCAGGCTGGATGAGGCTTTGAACAACCTGGTCTAGTGGAAGGTGTCCCTGCTGCTGGCAGGGGGGTTGGGACTGGATGAGCTTTAAGGTCCCTTCCCACCCAAACCCATCTGTGATTCTATGAAATGGAAAGGGGATTTATTGCTTAAAGATCCGCAGATGAAGCCACAGTGTTATAAAGAAGAGCAAGGAGAGCAAACACCAACACGTGAGGACTGGCCAGCTTCCAGAGATGAACGGTGGACGGGGCAGACTCACGGAGTGTGCAGCAGCTCTCAGCACAGGCCTGGTGCTCATTTCCCTGGGACATCCAGACATTAAGCAGCTCATGATACCAAACATCTGCTTCATCACTGCTCAGACCAGAAAAGTCACCAAATCCACCGTGGAGCCAGAGTTAAACCAGCACAAGGGAGCTGCTGAAGCATTGAGATTCTAGTGCCGGTTTTATTAAGACTGTAAACTTCTCTGAGCAACGTTTAACGCGGAGCAGATCGCGCAGACCAGGCACGTGTCCGAGTGACCGCTGGCTTTAACAACACACCCTACTCACCACATCTGCCACTTGCCATCAGAACCACCCCAAACCGCAGGAGAAAGGCTGCATCACCTCTTTCC